GGGCATTTTTTGGGCTGTTGTTGTGGAGAGCGGTTCGCGTGGAGCCGTGCAGGGAAGCGACAAATACGTTGGCCAAGGTCAAAAACGTGAATGTTTTGTGGGCCCACTTTCCACTCACAATATTTTTGTGAGTCCGCATGCGTTCAAGCACCGCAGTCAAACGTCGGCAACGGTCCACCAGCAATGAACCACCAAGCTCTTTAAGAGCTCATGCTCTTCTTCATCTTAAACCAATGGTTTGCGGAATATCCAGGCTCCACGGTTGCGGTCTTCACCCTTGTATAATGTATCCCTGCTCTGTTTTGTTTGTATGGTGTCCCAGTAGGGCTTTCATTAACTTTTGAACTTTGAGCCTGTGAAGGCAGGCGTGGCTCCATGCGCAGTGCACTTTGAACCTCTGCTGGCGAAAGTGGGCCCATTACAAAATTTCACAGGTGAAACTGTCAGAAATTGTGCGATTCTCGAACACCGGTGTTTGGCTATTTATACAGTCTCTGGGGTTCTCGAAATGTGCAACTGCAACTCCATTTCTTTGGTTCATGGCTTTTTGCCGATACTAATATGTCTGAAGTTGGATCTGATTGAAACTAAAAGTCAAATGTACAAATCTCAAATGTATGGACATAATGCAGGACAACCTAGGTGTCACCGGTACTTAGTGATATACCCTTAGGTAAATGTACTTCGACACTTTAGGAAGGTCATTGTCCATTTTGTAAACAACAATTGGCTTTGCCATGCAAAAAAATTTTAAGGGTGGTCTATTCAGGTCAAAGAGTTGGAGATGACATGTGCAGAACAAGAAGAAACAGTTGAGCATCTGCAGAAGGAAGTTTCTGCTGTCGAAAGAAGTTACGAAGGTGCTAAGGTGACAATTGGAGTTGAAGTTGAAGAACTAGAGAGAAAATCCTTACAAGTGCAGGTTTGTTAACCCTCCGTGTGCAGCAAGGGTTGCAATATATACTTGGTCTGTCTGTCTGTGTGTGTGTGTGTCTGTCTGTCTGTCTGTCCGTTTTGTCCGTCTGTTACCACACTTTCTGCCACCACGCACAACAAACCGGGCAAAAAGCAACACCAATAGGTTAAGCGCTACACTGGCTTAATTTTAAATCGTCAAAGTCCTGCGTTAAAAAAATTATGGCTTGTAAAAACAAGTCAACAAGCCAATATGCTAATTAGCTACGATCCGCACGATCGTGAGTCACAGCGAGAGTCAGTGTCGTATGCCCTTTTGAAGCTTACAGATGTCACATACGTATCTCCCTTTAGAGTGAGCTAGGTCCAATCAGATTGCAAAGCCCAGGTTTAACTAAATCCCATAGTAACCTCGATGGCGTTTACTACATGTAGTAAACCTACAGAACTACATGTCGTCCACGCGCACGCACAGACCACCCCTGCGTACGCGTGCAGACCGTCACGCGCGCACAACCTGAAAAAGAAGGCGGGGTCGCTACTGCGTGTCTCTGCCGCTCCGCTCTTCTTGCACTGCATTTTCTGCCACTCTGAGCCTGCCTCCATCGTTAGAAGCGCTCCGCCATACGAACGAACAGGAAAGCCAGAGCGCTCAACGTGAAGCGCTCACTCTATAATAGTTAGACGCTGATTGCTCGGTAACCACGCGCCGGTAGAAAGCCTCGTGCCTCGGGGGTAGCGCCCTCACTGCGCTCGGGGCGCCACAGTGCCGGGGCTCTCGGCTTTCTACTGCGCGTAGTTACCTCGAATCAGCGTCTAACTATTATTTAAAAGTGCAATTTTTAAATATAATTATGTATATTATGTCTTTATGCAACAGAATGATCTGGAAGTAAAATCCACAAAGTATGAGGAACTAAGAGCCGATGAAGGACTGTTGCAAGGGAGAATACAAGAATTGGACAAAGCTATTGCATCCACACATAAACTAAAAAGTGAAGTAGAGGCAGAAAATAAGGAGCTAGAGTGAGATTTTTAGCAGGCGCCTTTATTGTGTCTCCTCCATATAAATGTACTTTCACAGACAGACCGTTAATGAACTAAGTGATCATTTCAGTGAAAGAAAAGAGAAAGAATTCAGTTTGGAGCAAGAGTTGAAAGATAATACTGGTAATGTCTGATGCCTGTGTATGTACGTACCAACCCTTTTGGATTTACTCTCACGATCTCTGAACTGGTGTCAACACAGCCATTAAATGAGTAATTGACACACAGTACCACCTCCCACATACTAAATGTCCTTGATACACTTTGGAGGTTTGAGGTAGCCTTGTGTTGTACGATTCGAACCTTTACCAGCTGAGTTGCCCTGGTAGCTCAGTTGGTAGAGCGCTTGCCTAGACTGCAGAGTGTCATAGAATCCCACCTAGGAGCTGTCCTGGGTGTTTGTTGTCCCTTTTGCCTTTCTACATCGTAGTTTTCACATGCATTGATTTACATACTGGTTGGTCAGTGTACATGCTTTATTATGTAGATTTTAGAGAAGATGTCCAGGAGAGATTTTACTCTACAAAGAAAGAAGGGAGCAAAAGCTGAAGATGTTGAAAGTAAGGAATGTCTCCAGTGTATTACTAGCCAAGTGGTTCAACCAATGTTCCAAATCTGGGTCCGATCTATGTTTGTTCCATCTGTGAAAGAATTGTCATGTATAGGTTTTGATTCAAATGTTTTAAGGATCACACAAACGTACTAACTGTAGGGTGAAAATTGGGGGTGGTTCCGGAAGGTATAATATCCCATGCACATCAGTTGAGTCTTACGAGTTGTGGGTAATACTGGCATATATATGTTGATGGGAAGATACCCTCAGCGTATGAGCATTGCAACACCCATGCACATGCACGAGGGTTAGTAGATGGGATCACGCTGGTCATTGTTTTTTGCTAGCTTGCTAAGAGCCTGTGCCTGAAACTGGCGCGAGTAAAACATTGCAGGACACACTCCCTTATAACTTCTGATGCCTCCACAGTGCACAAAACAAGCAGAGTCCGGTCTAGTAATTCGCATATTGCTCACGTCATACGTAGCTTTTTAACACAGTATTTGTACAAAATCCTGCGAATTTTTAAAAAAGAGGCATATAGGGATGGTATAAAAAGAGTGGGAGGCATACGGATGGGATACATGAAGCATGGTTAACAAGTAGTAGTTATACCACATCTACTAGGGTGTACCCGAAGGAACACATTCCTGAGGGTTTTACGGAAACACCCGCAGTAGGCGTGGTATAATTAATTTACACATGGTAACGGATTGCATCATCATTTTTGGACTATATTTGGGCAAAGCTGCGGACCCACCGCCATTTTTAACTGCCAAGTCGGTCTGACCGAATGCTCGTTCTCTTTGACGATTGCACCATTGTAGGCGTCCTTAGCGAAAGGTACACAGATGAGATGGTTATGAACCACCTAAAGACTACCTTTGTCAGTAGTCCTTCTCTGCCGAGTCAAGCAGTGGGTAAACGCACTGCGTAAAGAACGCTAATTCGGGACAGCTGTGCCTCCTTTAGCGCTCCAGAAATATTGTAGGCAGAAGGTAAGCCTGGAAACGAGTGGTTTAACCATGTAATCTAACCGCAGCTGCTTCGTGCATGCTAAATTCGCCACTTCTTGTTAAAAAGAACGAGGCTAACCTTCTGTACTACGAGCAGCTCATCACAAGGCCAGTTTTCAAGGAGAAAAGTCGTAGAGAAGTTTATTTCACAGGTCATCCTTGTTATTTCACAGGATATCCCGTGGAATGTGGCGTACCACGCGGAATATGCCAAATAAACAGTAGGTGGCGCCTTTAAAAATATGCACGACCGTGGTATAAACAGATTTGGGCACGCTGACAACCCCAACCCCATCAGAAAATCCCTATATGGTTTAGGTGAAGCATAGAATGTTTACCATTACAAGTGTGTCATGACCGATAGCTTTAAACATGTACACAGTAACCAATACTGTTATAGAGTCCAAATTTATTTAAGAGTGCCACACCAGGCAGCAATATAGGGATTCTGTGATGGGGTAAGCGTGTTCAAATCTGTTTCTTAACCATGCTTTATGTATCCATCCCTATCTTGTCTCCCTTTTTTAATACATACCTCCTTTTTAAATTCACAATTTACTTGTATCATCTCATTTTTATATACTACATGTATTTATCTGTTAACTCACCTGAGCAGTACTGGAACACCCAAGCCCCTTGTCCCCTCCGCCCCTCTTCGCCTACACCCCGAACATGGGCCCTGAGCCCATTGGGGGTGTTGGCCAAAGGGCTGGGGTATATGAGGCTGGTAGGGGTGTGTCTGGCACTAGTAATTTTCCTGGTATGAATTTTCCCATTAAAAGTCACACAACATCCATAGTTTAATAATGACCAAGCCATAATGTTTTCATATACTGAACTACATGAAATTTTAACCTTTTCATATGGTCAGTGCTGTTCAATATCTATTAATCCATCATGAAATAGCCATGAAAGATGGGTTAATTTGTATGGTGTTTTGATGGAAAGTGTGTATTTATGCATGATTTTCTCATGCTATTTCATGGACATATAATCACTTATTTGAGACTAAAAAGGCATGAATTTTCCATTTCTTTTCCAAAGCATTTCATGTTATTCTCATATGAATTACATGTCATATTTCTTAAAATTATATGAAATTCTTATTCAATTCCAAATGAATTTCATATTGATTTTAAACTTATGCAGGCTACATTAAAACATGAAATTTATGATAAATTTCATGTTTCCCTTTCAATGAAAAGAATATGAATTATTCATGAAACATGTATGATATGACACATGGAAAACTCATCATAATACATGAACAAGATCAATAATACATGAACAAAGCAAAAACATGAGAAAGATCAACAATACAGAGTTTTAAGTGTAGCTGTTGTTGCTGTCGATAACCTCATCGAACGTGTAAATGTAACCTTGCGTATTACGTCGTTCCTGTTAATAGTCTCCATGTACGTGACAGTCTTTCCTCCTTCCCTTCCTTTCCATGGCTTCCATGTCCCACTGTAAGTCCCTATGTACCAGTCAATTTGTATGTCAGCACGTCCTGTTTTTGTAATTTGTCCAATAAGTGGCTTTTCTTTGTACAGTGTGGATCTCACTGCCACCTTCCGCATACTCCTCAACACTGCTCTCCATCTACAGTAATAAAAAAAAGTACATAATAATTGGCACAAAAAACCAGACTAATGTTCATACCTCCAGGGTTTTCATCTTTCTTTGAAATTCTTCTTTATTGTTTTTAATCCCATACTGACACAACTCCTCATTCCTGCCAGTAGAAATAATTATTCACAGCTTCTAAAAGTTTAATCGACTTTTTCATCTCGCAAGCGAGACATCTTCCACAAATATATGTTTCCTTTCTGAAATTATGATTAAAGGTGTTATATCACACCCAAGTAATCGATTTACCTTCAATTCACTAAACATTACTTGGTTTCCATCAGTGGGCATTGGTAATTCAATCCCTTCAATGTCAGCAGACGCTGAATAATATGCTGATTTAAATACAACTTTTCCAAAACGTGCTGGAGGAAATAAGGAGCAGGTTGAATTACACATTTAAAGTTAATTGAAACACACAGTTGGAGTTTTTTTTCCAAGGAAGGCCAGTCTTGTTCCGGTGACACATAACACCAGTACATTATCTCTGTAGCCAATATCACATGCACCCAAAACTCAATAAATATAATAATTCTGTACCATGGGTCATCAATTTCTATATCCTCGTCACCGGATGATTCATGCTCAGGGCTGTATATGTACATACTTTGAATCACCAACATGTGCAAGAAGTATACACATAGCCACCTGCTGGCAGGTGTAGTAACTGGTGCTTCAGCAGGTGTAGGTGTCTCCTGAACCTCTCCAGTCTCAAACTCAACCTCACGACAGTCTTTGGAATTACTATTATGCATATTTTAAGTGAATTAATTTACAAATTGCTCTTTTATAGCACAGACCTGCAGGCAAGAAATGGTAATGAGGATTTCCTCTTCTGAAGAAAAGCACGCCGGTTTACTAAGGTTGCCCCTAGTCAACTCCTTATTGTACTTCGGTGTAGCTTTAACCCCGGACATATAGTGAAAATCTAAGAGAGTTGAGCATATACACGCAGCAGGATGTAATGGTGCAACTCTCAACTTACAGTGTCAAAGAATTTTGAAAAGCTTTGGTGACTGATGTCTTTCGGAAGTGGTGCTGTATCCCAGATATTCGCAGCCTTCGCTACCTCTCTCAGAATTGTCTAGTATAATATTATTTTGTGGTCACTAATAACATAGCTTGCCCACTCACCACCCACACGTATGCACAACTCACAAGCTCTAGCTAGCTGGCTACGCGCTAGCCCACACACCCACACACAAGCGAGCTAGCTTCACCCCTCTAACGCCCACATGCGATGCCCGCCTCCCTGCGCGCAGCTACGCCTACTCAGGTACCTAGACTCACCGCAAAATACTTTTGAGCCGACGTTGACGTTGAACCTTTCTTTTTCTTTTGCAGCATATCGCAGACCAATAATTCACTGCCTCCGTCGAGTTGGCGCTTCTGCGCCTGGAGTAGTGGGATGATTCGAGTTGCTCATGGAAAGCTCGGCCTGTGCTAAATCACTCATTCTCGCACAACGCACAGTCACAACCAAACCAAACTGCCAACTCACACCATCACCGACTCTCAGGGAAGATACATGTTCTCTCGTAGGTTGCCAAAGAAATGCCCGCGCAAAATAATCCACGATACCCATTGGTCGTAAACCCTGGCGTCTTGTTGTCGCGCATTCAAACCTTCGCGTATAGCTGCGACGCCAACCCTCTCACTAAGATGTCGAATACTGCACTTTGCTTTTGCAAGCTGTGCAATGGAAAAAGTGTTTCCAAGTATATGAAAAGGCAGCATTCGAATCTAGCCAATTCTGAGAAGCCAAGAAAGGTCCTACGCACAGACGAGCAGTTAGATATTACACCGGTACGTTCATATTAGCTAGCTAGCTACTCTAGAGGCTGCTGACATTATGAACCTTGCAGCAGCAATCATTTGAAGAGTGTGGCGAGGAGTGTGATAGCCTTGCTGGTTCTCTTACTGAAGTGGAAGAGGTATAGCTTGGCTAAGTGCTGACTTACAGGCATAAAATGAATATAAAATTCTAATTGCAGGCACCACTATCTTCATCAGAATGTCCTGCAATACTGAATGCATCAATACAGGAAGTGGAAAAGAGGTATAGGCAGTGCTGGGTGACACATCTATAGAATATATAATTCTATTGCAGGCATCACCAGAATATCTTGCAATGCAAAGTGATAGTGATGCTCCACTCTTTGATGGATCACCACATTCAGTGTTACAGACCATGGTTAATTGCTTCCAGTGGTTTTGTGAGCATCCCGGGATAAGTATTAGCAATGCATAAGTCTCTGCTTCCAGCTCCAAATAATCTTCCAGGCTCGTACGAAACAGCTCTGCATGTTATTGAGCCACATATCGTCACCCCTGTTTCATATGACATCTGTGTGAATGACTGCATCCTGTTTAGAAAGCAGTTTAGTGGCAAGCTGTGCAATGGAAAAATGCCAAGACTGTGGTGCTGACCGAAAGAGTGGGCAAGCAAGAAGGCACTTTCTCTATCTGCCACTAAAGCCTCGGTTACAGAGGTTGTTTGGTAGTAGTTGCATGGCCGAAATACTCCGGAGCCACCTAACACATGCTAGAGGAACAACAATGCAGGATATTCATGACTCCCCAGCATGGCAGGATGCTTACCATAGAGAAGGTATATACAATTTTTTCGGCTTTATCTGTACATAATAATATTAACTGCAATACACAGGCGTCTTTGGAGGAGATCACAGAGGTGTATCTTTAGCCCTCTGCACAGATGGGGTCAACCCCTTTGCCCATAACAGGGTCGTTTATTCCATGTGGGCAATCATGTTAACCCTCCTAAATCTACCACGCAGACTTAGAAACCTATTCACCAACATCATTTTAGTTGGAATTATTCCAGGTAATGAGGCCAAAGAGGTCAAATCTCTAGATCCTTTCCTCGAGGTCTTAGTTGATGAGCTTCTGGAGATATCGGGCTCCACAATGTACGATGCATACTCAGGGTCCCCCTTCCAGGTCAAAATATCAGTGCTTTTGCATGTTTTGGATTACCCAGCATTGGGTAAAGTGATGGGGGTGGTAGGGTCACGTGGTATAAAGGGGTGTGCATTTTGTGTTTTGTCGGGAGAATGGTGTGAGAGTCTCCACAAGACAATTTACCTTCAAAATAGACGTTTTCTACCACCGTCATCGTTACTCAGGAAAGACAAAAATAAGTATGAAGTATCTACTACTACCATTACATAATTGACATAACAGTTTTCCCAGCCTTTGTGAAGAGCACAGGCCTCCTCCCGAGAAAAATAAATATATAACCACTACTGTCTCACTTCAATTTTACTGTAATGCAGAGCTCAAGCAAATCTCATTTCTAAATCAACGGGATGTAAGGGAAGTTATGCTTTGATGAAGCTGCCACAACACAACAGGGAGTATCAGACCGTTCCAGATGCCATGCATACTATTAAAGATGTTGTTGAGAAGCTTGTTTGTCTTGTGACAGGTAATAATAATATATAATGCTGTTACTCTGGGACTGGGAGTGCATCGAGTCCCACCCAGGGGCTAGGGCAGCTTTGCTTTTCTTGGAAAAAGTGTTGTCCTGTGTCGTTTAATTGTTTGCTTTATACTTCCTATGCTTTCATACCTCACTTATGATTCAAGAAAATTAGATGACAAGGTTAGCAGAGTGGAGGAAGGACGTTTTGTAGATGTGAGTGGATCTCCTCCATGGAAGCTTTCAAGTGGAGAACTGAAGACGCTGAAGAACGGCTTTCATACCTTCAAGTCCCTGCGCATCTAGATGTAGCTTATAAGTATGTTTTTTCCCATCCTTCATGCCTTAAATCCCATGACTGGAAGCAGGTTTGATCAAATTACATAGTTCATACATGTGGTGTGTGTACACAGCAGGTGGCATGTCAGGGCATCTTCAAATACTGTCTACACGACATGCTGGGGAAGCAGTAGAGGGAAACTCTGTTCCAGCTTTTTGATGTTATAGCAGAGATGGTGTCTGAAACACACAACACTACTAATCTAGACACCCTGGATGAGAGAGTACATACTGCTGTAGCTTTGCTTGAGAAGGATTTTCCTTGATCTGTATATACAGGTATATTTTTGTAGCAACATAATTATGTAATGACCATCTAATGATTAATTTTTAGGATTTTACCACACATCTCATGCACCGCATTGTTGATGGCGAGAGGCGATACACGCCCTGCGTTGCATCTTCTTGTGCATCCGAAGTACGAAGAGCACGACCGCGGTAAGCCATCCCGTCCGTCGCGCTCTAGCTTTGCAACCGAGCATTTTCAGAGAAAACCGCACAAAATTTCTGACTTTCATTGCCCGTTAAATAGGTCATATCCTTTGTGAGACGAACAAACACCCGAGAAGTGAGATTGAGAGTAACAGACAGACAGACACACAGGACAACTACTGTAACCCTCGCTGCGCATGCGCGCCGAGGGTTAATCACAACAGTGACAGTTAGATCCTCAATCATGTATGATTGTATCACTGGTCATCCCCAATTCTTATGAATTTCATAAGTTGACTGAAAAATACACGTTTTTCATGTGGCAGATCACATGAAAAACAAATAAAATGACACTGAAAAAATTCATATAATTTCCATTGTGAGACATAACTCAAGGATTTAAATTCCTTGCGTTTTCATGGGGAAAACATTAGCCCAATGAATAACCATATGAAATGAGTATGATGGAGCATTTCATGGCTATTTCATATCCTTTTAACCTTTTCATGCTCGCCTAGACTGCAGAGTGTCGTGGGTTCGAATCCCACCTAGGGCAGGTCTTTATTTTTCCTTGGAAAAAAAGAGCTGTCCTAGGTGTAGTTGATTTGTTTGTTGTGCCTTTGCCTTTCTACCTCATAGTTTTCACATGCATATACTTGGCTTGGAGTTGGGCGTCATTGGTGGTTTAATTACCCCGGTCTGCTCCTACATGCTAAGTGAGAGTTTACTGTGCCATAGCACAGTGGTTGGAGGTTTGCCTTGTGTTGTGTTGTGTTGTAGATTCGAACCCCTACCAGCTGAGTTGCCCTGGTAGAGCGCTCGCCTAGACTGCAGAGTGTCGTGGGTTCGAATCCCACCTAGGGCAGCTCTTTATTTTTCCTTGGAAAAAAAGAGCTGTCCTAGGTGTAGTTGATTTGTTTGTTGTGTGCCTTTGCCTTTCTACCTCATAGTTTTCACATGCATATTTCATTGGCAGAAAAACTAGTACATTATGTTTTTGGATAATTGATAACTCCCAGCAGTTGCTTTCAACTTTAAGCAAAATAAATTATTTTTATACGGCCAGGCATTTTGATAGCTACGACTTTTCTACATTGTACACAAGCATTCCACATGTAGCACTCAAAGAAGCTTTAGAGACTCTAGTTCAGGAAGCATACATGGTGAGAGACAGTGAGTTCATTATAGCAGATAGTACTGGAAATGCGTACTGGTCTAATGTACCATCGAACTCCTCATCGAAACAGAATATTACTGAAGAGATGCTAGTCACATATGTGGA